TCAACTGCAGGGCCCCTTTGTGCCCCATTTCAGCAGGAAGTAAAGAGGATTGATGCCCCATTCCAACAGAAGTTGAATTTTCCTGTTCAGAGCGCAGAATGAGGGAATGTGTTTTCTTTCCATGTCCATGGGGGGACATAGTTTTAAGGGCAAGAATTTCCCAGCGCCATACCTGCCTCCCATCTCTCTCCATCCAGGAGTTTTAATGGTTTATGTTTGAATTTCATGGGCAAGGGAGGAAACGAAAAGTCAATCACTCCAGTGGAAGTTCTAAGGAACTCCTTTCATTGGCCCAGGGTCTTGGAGAAGGTGGGGGTTTCTCCCAGGATAAAAGTCCTTATCCACACACCTGGCTGGATTTCCCCTCTGGAATCCCCTTCCACACTCTTTGTGGAAGTCTTTCTCTTCTCTTTTCTCTACCTAAAAAATCACCTTTCTGTAACACTTCTTGGGTCCAATATTTACTTTTATGAGCACATGGAGCACCTGCAGTAGTCCCAATCACTTATTCTTTAAGAGACTGGAGACCAAGAACCCACAGCATTCTCTCTGGGGAGCTGTGCCTCACCAGCATCCAAGAAAAAACCCGGTTACATTTGCTGGTCTGCAGCCTCCCACCAGTGACACCGAAGCAAACAGGGTCTGGAGTGGACCTCCAGCAAACTCTGGCAGACCTGCAGCAAAGGGGCCTGTTAGAAGAGAAACTAACAAACAGAAAGGAATAGCATAAACATCAAAAAAATAAGAAGGACATCCACACAAAAACCCCATCTGAAGGTCACCAACATCAAAGACCAAAGGTAGATAAATCCATGACAATGAGGAAAAAACCGTGCAAAAGGTTGAAAATTCCAAAAACCATAATGTCTCTTCTCCTCCAAAGAATCATAACTTCTCTCCTGCAAGGGAACAAAACTGGATGGAGAATGAGTTTGGTGAATTGACAGATGTAGGCTTCAGAATACGGGTAATAACAAACTCCTCCAAGCTGAAAGAGCATGTCCTAACCCTATGCAAGGAAGCTAAGAACCTTGAAAAAAGGTTAGAGGAATTGCTAGCTAGAATAACCAGTTTAGAGAAGAACATAAATGACCTCATGGAGCTGAAAAACACAGCACAAGAACTTTGTGAAGCATACACAGGTATCAATAGCAGAATTTATGAAGCAGAAGAAAGGATATCAGAGATTGAAGATCAGCTTAATGAAAGAAAGCATGAAGACAAGATTAGAGAAAAAAGAATGAATAAAGCCTCCAAAACAATATGGGACTATGTGAAAAGACCAAACCTATGTTTGATTGGTGTTCCTGAATGTGACTGGGAGAATGGAACCAAGTTGGAAAATACTCTTCAGGTTATTATCCATAAGAACTTCCCCAGCTTAGCAAGACAGGCCAACATCAAATTCAGGAAATACTGAGAACACCACAAAGATACTCCTTGAGAAGAGCAACCCCAATAAATATAATTGTCATAAACACTGAGGTTGAAATGAAGGAAAAAATGTTAAGGGCAGCCAGAGAGAAAGGTTGGGCCACCCATAAAGGGAAGCCCACCAGACTAACAGCAGACATCTCAGCAGAAGATGAGATGGGGGCAAGCAAGAAGAGAGTGGGCACCAGTATTCAACATTCTTAAAGAAAAGAATTTTCAACCCAGAATTTCATATCCAGCCAAACTAAGCTTCATAAGTGAAAGAGAAATAAAATCCTTTATAGACAAGCAAATACTGAGAGACTTTGTCACCACCAAGCTTTCCTTACAAGAACTCCTGAAGAAGTACTAAACATGGAAAGGAAAAACTGGTACCAACCACTGCAAGAAAATACCAAATTGTAAAGACCATTGACACTATGAAGAAACTGCATCAACTAATGGGTAAAATAACCAGCTAGCATCATAATAACAGGATCAAATTCACACATAACAACATTAACCTTAAATGGGCAAAATGCCCCAATTAAAAGACACAGACTGGCAAGTTGGATAAGAATCAAGATCCATTGGTGTGCTGTATTCAGGAGACCCATCTCACATGCAAAGGCACACACAGGCTCAAAATAAAGGGATGGAGGAAAATCTATCAAGCAAATGGAAAGCAAAAAAAAAAAAAAAAAAAAAAAAAAGGAGGGATTGCATTCCCTGCCTCTGATAAGACAGACTTTAAACCAACAAACATCAAAAAAGACAAAGAAGGGCATTACATAATGGTACAGGGATCAATGCAACAAGAAGAGCTAACTATCCTAAATATAAATGCATCCAAGCCAAGAGGTTCATAAAGCAAGTTCTTAGAGACCTAAAAAGAGACTTAGACTCCCACACAATAGTAATGGGAAACTTTAACACTTGACTGTCAATATTAAACAGATCAATGAGACAGAAAATTGACAAAGACATTCAGGACTTAAAATCTCAGCTCTGGACCAAGTGGACCTAATAGACATCTACAGAACTCTCCACCCCATATCACCAGAACATACATTCTTCTCAGCACCACATCTCACTTATTCTATAATTGACCACATAATTGGAAGTAAAACACTCCTCAGCAAATGCAAAAGAGTAGAAATCATAACAAACAATTTCTCAGACCACAGTGTAATCAAATTAGAACTCATGATCAAGAAACTCACTCAAAACTGCACAACTACATGGAAACTGAACAACCTGCTCCTGAATGACTACTTGGTAAATAACGAAATTAAGGCAGAAATAAGTAAGTTCTTTGAAACCAATGAGAACAAAGACACAACGTACCAGAATCTCTGGGACACAGCTAAAGCAGTGTGTAGAGGAAAACTTATAGCACTAAATGCCCACAGGAGAAAGCAGGAGAGATCTAAAATCGACACCCTAACATCAATGAAAATAACTAGAGAAGCAAGAGCAAACAAACTCAAAATCTAGCAGAAGACATGAAATGACTAAGATCAGAGAAGAACTGAAGGAAATAGAGACATGAAAAATCCTTCAGAAAATCAATGAAGTCAGGAGCTGGTTTTTTTGAAAAGATCAACAAAATAGAACACTATCTAGACTAAGAAAAAAAGAAAGAAAAGAGAGAAGAATCAAATAGGCACAATAAAAAATGTTAAGGTGATATCACCACTGATCCCACAGAAATACAAACTACCATCAGAGAATACCCCTACACAATAAACTAGAAAATCTAGAAGAAATTGATAAATTCCTGGACACATACATCCTCCCAAGACTAAACCAGGAAGAAGGTAAATCCCTGAATCTGCCAATAACATGTTCCGGAACTGAGGCAGTAATTAATAGCCTACCAACCAAGAAAAAGCCCAGGACCAGATGGATTCACAGTTGAACTCTACCAGAGGTGCAAAGAGGAGCTGGTACTATTCCTTCTGAAACTATTCCAAACAACAAAAAAAGAGGAACTCCTTCCTAACTCATTTTATGAGGCCGGCATCATCCCGATACCAAAACCTGACAGACACAACAAAAAAAGAAAATTTCAGGCCACTATCCCTGATGAACATCAATGAGAAAATCCTCAATAAAATACTGGCAAACTGAATCCAGCAGCACATCAAAAAGCTTATCCACCACCATCAAACCAGCTTCATCTCTGGGATGCAAGGCTGATTCAACATAGGCAAATCAATAAACGTAATCCATCATGTAAACAGAACCAATGACAAAAACCACATGATTATCTCAATAGATGCAGAAAAGGCCTTCAATAAAATTCAAAACCTCTACATGCTAAAAACTCTCAATAAACTAGGTATTAATGGAATGTATCTCAAGATAATAAGAGCTATTTATGACAAACTCACAGCCAACAGCATACTGAATGGGCAAAAGCTGGAAGCATTCCCTTTGAAAAGCAGCACAAGACAAGCATGCCCTCTCTCACCACTCCTATTCAACAAAGTATTGGAAGTTCTGGCCAGGGCAATCAGGCAAGAGAAAGAAATAAAGGGTATTATTCAAATAGGAAGAGAGGAAGTAAAATTGTCTCTGTTGGCAGATGGCATGATTGTGTATTTAGAAAACCCCATAATCTCAGCCCCAGTCTTCTTAAGCTGATAAGCAACTTCAGCAAAGTCTCAAGATATAAAATCAATGTGCAGAAATCACAAGCATTCCTGTACACCATTAGCAGACAAACAGAGTCAAATCATGAGGTAACTCCCATTCACAATTGCTTCAGAGAGATAAAATGCCTAGGAATATGACTTATAAGGGATGTGAAGAACTTCTTCAAGGAGAACTACAAACCTCTGCTCAAGGAAATAAGAGAGGACACAAGCAGGTTGATGCATGCAGCAAACCACCAGGGCATGAGTATACCTATGTAACAAACCTACACATTCTGCACATGTATATCAGAACTTAAAGTATAATTTAAAAAAAGAAGAAGAAGGAAGAGGAGGAGGAGGAGGAGATTATTGAACAAATTAGCATAACCAGAACATTCAGAAACTGCCAGTCTGCCAACCAGGGAATTCAGTAGTTTTCTTTGTGTTAGTATTTGTGTGTGAACCTGTTTGCTTGTGGTTGTGATTTTACAGTAGATGACATAACAGGGTCATAGTTTGTGCTTTTAAAATTGTTCCTAGAACATTCAAGGGGACTAATTGGTTACAGAGTGCCCTGCAGAGATGACTGTGACTTTGCAGGTACTTGATATCTGACTAGTCTGAGGATCACCCCTGGGGGCTTCCAGGCTTGGAATTTTACAAGACTCCCCTTCTCCTGAGAGGGGGACCATTGGCAACCTGAGCAGAGAAGAAAAGACTTGAATTTGCAGCAAGTCAGGGTATGTGACTTCTTAATGTTCTTCAAATGAGTCAAGAACTCAAATCTGGAGTTTGAACAGGAAACTGGAACACGGTGGGAGGTCTGCGAGGGTGGAGGATGGGGGTGTTTCCAGGATTTCAAAACACAAAACAGGTGGTTTTCAGTGGTGTTGGCTGGCTGGGGAAGAGGTGGGGAGGGGAGGGGTGAATAGAAAGTAGGCAGGCTTCTGGAAGGATGGGGCCCAGCACTCACAGCCTGGGCTAGCTGCCTGAGAGTAGAGAGTGGCAGGTGAGGGCTCTGAACCTTACTGTGTGCTGCCCAAGGAGCACCTAGGGCTGCCAAGAGGCCCAGGGAGGAGCCTTGAGACCTGACTGGGAAAGGCTTTTCTCCCCGCAGAGGACCACTGCTCAGGCTCAGCGGCCATGGGGCAGAGCCCATACAAAAGTGGGCATCCAGTCATGCTCTAAGCCCCCTGAAGAAGAAGACCAGGGAGCAGCTTCCTCTGATGAAGCAGCAGTGATCAGGGGACAGGAGGCTGAAGCCGTGAGCCCAGCAGAGTCAGGAACAGCCAAGTCTGGGACAGGCTTCAATTATTTTAGGGTAAGAAATCTGTGCTTTGTAAATATGCCAGATGTCTTTGCTTTTGTATATTTTAATTTTTTGTTTGTTTTACTTTTTGTTGTTGATGATGTTGTTGGTTTAGTAAAACTCAAAGTAAGAAAAGGGTAATGGGATCCTTGTTCATGTCTGGGAAGGCCCAGTTAGAGCGTCAAGGCATCCTGGAGCTGCAGAGGCCCCTAATGAAGTGAATCATGGAAATGTGACACAACCCCAGAAGTGGCTGCTCTGGAGCCCTGTGGGGAGTCTTTAATGAACTCTCTAATGCATTGCATGAAGGAAGGAAATTTTAGGCATTTTGGACAGAAAGGAAAGCATCTTCCTGGCAGAAATCAAAATGGACAATTAGCCATACCCCATCCTGTTCATAGAGGATGCTGGACAAAAATACTTTCTAAGCTGCTGGGACATAATGCAAAATGCCTCTTGGCTCACCCAAGGGTCTTAGCTGCCCATTTTCCCTTTACCCTCCCTAGCCCTTATGCAAAGGACAAAATAAATAGAAGTCTACAGTCTTCGGCCTCTGCGGACCTGCCTGATATTAATTAGCACTAACCTCTGACAAGTGGCAATCCTCAAAAAAGCTCCAAGATGTTTTTAACACGAAGATTTTAATGTGTTCTCTAAATGAGGATTCTAATGACCATTTCCTTGACAAAGCAACCAGGCTTGCGATAGTAAATGGTGACACTCATTAAGATAGTAAATAGTGATTCTGTGAGTGAGGGATAAGTCTGTGAACGGAATTAAGTCCACAGGCTCCCGTTCCCTGCGATTCCATTAGCCACTAGAAACTTCCAGTCAGCCACGGCTGCAAATGGGTGTCCCAGGGCTGGCAATTGACTGATAAGTCCCAGAGCCCTCATTCCAAGCTGTTGTTCGGAAAGCATCCCCACTGTTCATATTTGAGGAGGGCGGGGATGGGGGTGGCAGCAGAGAGAAGGGGCAGGTAATTTATTCAGGAGCTGGAAGCTGAGAAGCGGCTTTGGTAAGCAAATACTTCAAAGCTCACTAGAGAACTCCCATAAAACACAGACCTTCTGCAGCAACCAGGGAGTGATTTAAATCCAGTCGGAATTCCTAGGGAGAAGGAGTAAGACTTCTCAACTCTGTTCAGAGCTTCATGAATAATTTCACCTGACACGGGACAGTGAACCAGCAGAAATCTGGGATGTCCAAGGAAAAATAGATTTCAAACTAATCTTTGTTCCTCAAGTCGTATTCCTAAGTGGGGAACCAGGGTGGAAGAGGGGAGCCCAGACAGGAAGCCTGCCATTTTTAGGCATGTTATATTTTGTCCTTGTGTGAGAAATGTTGGATGGGAAACACATTTTTCTGGCAGCTGAAACCTCGCTGCTGGGTTGGCTAAAGGAAAGGCCACGAACCCACGTATCACCAGGATGTGGAAGTCATTTGTAACTCCCTCTAGGCTAGTACAGGCAGTGAAACGGGGAACTTAAAATGAAATAAACACCCAAGCCCGGATCTGCAAAGCTGGGACTACGTTAGTTACTCGTGGTGCCTTAAACCCCAAGCTGTACCCGCCCCCATCTCCCACCTCCTCACTGCAGATACCCTGCGCTGCGCCCGTGCAGAGCCATGTTCTCCTTCTCCAAGCGGCCAGCCCCGCGACGCTGGGGAGAGAAGGTTTCCCCCTTGTCCTCACTTCTGGGGCATCAGGCTTAGATGGGGGGGAAGGGGGAGCGGTGCGGAGCTGCCGGAACCTTCTCGAAGATCCCAGAGAGTGTCGGTCAGGCAGAATCAGCACCATCCTCCTCGAGCGCAGCCTTTCCTCCCTGGATAACTGCGGTGCCACCGCGCACCACCCAGGTGCCCAGCATCGAGGGCGCGGTAGCGACGGCCCGGGCAGCCAGGGTCCCTGAACGTCCGCGCGGTTTTTCCCCGACGGCCACAGGGGGGCAGGAGAGAGGAGCCATGGCGAGCAGGGCCTGCGGGAAGGGACCCGGAGCGCGGGAGCCAGGACCGCGCAAGCAGCTGGGGAGGCCGCGGGGCTACCCGGCGCGGGGAGGGCCCAGGAATTGGCCGGGGTCAGGGAGGTCGGTGGAAGACGACCCCCGACCTCCGGGAACAGGCCCACGATCGGTCGCCTCAGCACTCGGGCTCTGCCGCCCCCGTCACTCGGGACCGAGTCCTTGAAGTGGCCGCAAGGGACGCTCAGGAGAGCAGAGCTGGGAACCGGCCTGAAAGACACTCGGACCCCCGGGAATTCCGTCCTGGGAAGAAAGGTGGTGAGCTTCTCCCTGAGCTCCCCTCTGCCCCAGCCTCCGAACCCACCTTCCCTGAAGCTGGCGACCCGCTGTCATCCCCATTTTGCAGCTACTGAGACCTGACATGGTGGGAGCCTAAAGGACATCATATAGAACATAAAGTAATTATGATGATTCTGAGCTCTGTGGTCAGAAAGTTTCAATTCAGGAGACAGGTTTTTGTTTTTGTATTGTTGGATCGCCACCTTTCCTTTTCCTTTTTCTATTTTATCCACATCAGCTCTTTTACCTTTTAGTACAGACCTCTACACTTTTCTTTCATTCCACCGCAAGAAGTATGGTGACCTGATTCTCTTTCCTTCACCAAATCGTCTCTATTTCTCTTCTCCCTTCTTCCAAATTTAATTCTCTCTCTCTCTCTCTGTCTCTCTCTCTCTCTTTGTCACTTTGTCACCCAGGCTGGTGATCTCAGCTCACCCCAGCCTCGACCACCTTAGCTCTTAGCTCAAGTGATTCTCCCGCCTCAGCCTCCGGAGTACCTGGGATTACAAGTGTGCACCACCACACCCGGCTAACTTTTGTATTTTAGAAGAGATGGGTTTTTGCCATGTTGCCCAGGCTGGTCTTGAACTTCTGGGCCCTCATCATCTGCCTGCGTTGACCTCCCAAAGTGCTGGCTCTACAGGCGTGAGCTACTGTGCCTGGCCCAAATTTAATTCTTTTTTTTTTTTTTTTTTTTTGAGGCGGAGTTTCGCTCTTGTTACCCAGGCTGGAGTGCAGTGGCGCAATCTCGGCTCACCACAACCTCCGCCTCCTGGGTTCAGGCAATTCTCCTGCCTCAGCCTCCTGAGTAGTTGGGATTACAGGCACGCGCCACCATGCCCAGCTAATTTTTTGTATTTTTTTTAGTAGAGATGGGGTTTCACCATGTTGACCAGGATGGTCTCTATCTCTTGACCTCGTGATCCACCCGCCTCGGCCTCCCAAAGTGCTGGGATTACAGGCTTGAGCCACCGCGCCCGGCCCCAAATTTAATTCTTAACTAATTTGAACCAAAACTAGCCAAAAGTTCAACTCCAGAGATCTCCAACCCAAATGAAAATGGCCCAGAAAAAGGAGGAGGGGGGACAAATACACCTATGAAAGATCAAATCACATCTTTGTGGGTCCACATGAAATTGTTTAAGCAAATACTCTCCAGTCTTTTGAAAAATCTTTGCTCCAAGATGACTTGCATTGATGATATTTATTTGGAAACTTCACATACCTTACAGACCATGTACAATTTTTGTTTTCATTAAATCTAGACCTGGATTCAAAAGGATTATGAAACTGCGGTTCTGACATTAATAAGCCATCAAGTTAGAAAAAATGAGAAGCACTAAGAGGGGGCAAAGCTTAAGCCAAGGCTTGTGGGATTTACAGAGTCATCCCCCAGGCAAAGTCTTTGTCTTCCTCTTTCTTTCCTCGTCCTTAGTCAACTGGGGACAGCACTTGGACCATCCCTGGCCTGATCCTTATCTGGTGGTTTGAGACAGGAGAGTAGGCCCCAGGTTACAGTTCTGTGGCACCACCTTCCAAGAATGAAGCTGAACTGGCCAGAGCATGATGATATCAGTGTGACAGTATGGAAAGTTGGGACAGCGCTACACCTTCTGGAAACAGTAGCCCAGCTGCTCAGGTGTGGGCACATGCTTTGCTCCTTTATGAGAGGACTTCTGCCTTCTAGTTCCTCAGTGTCTGCTTTTCTAGCTGGGTAGTGGCCCTGAGTTTCCACTTTCCTTTTAGCTGGCTTTTTTTGTTGTTGTCATCGTAAATTTGGCGATTCATTAACATCTCCACCAGAGGATGGGCAGGAGAAAGGAAAGCTGGGAACTCCAGTCCACCTTGCATTTCTTAGCAGTTAGTATTTCTACTATTAGCTGGGTTTGGTGGGAAAAGAGCTGTGCTGCTGGCTAAAATGAGATTTTGTGATTATCTGTGGATTTAATCTGGTCTCCTCACATCCACCATTTCCACAAATAATTAGAGATTATTAGACACATTCAGAAGTTGCATTAGCCTCAAAGAATTTAGAGAAAATCTAAATAGGCTTAAATACCATCTTGGAATCCAGAATGTTAATCTCTATGCTCCAGATAATTAACATTTTTAGGGCCCCTTTTCTCCCCATGGGGCTAAAATCACTCCTGGGTAACAATTAATTATGAACACATTTGTAGTATAATATATTTTACAGAAAGGGATGAGCTGAGTAGAAAAACAGATGAGGCACTCCTGTTGCATTAGAAGAGAATAGGCCATGTGGCATTGGAGATTTGGAACTTCTCTGTTCTCTTAAGATGTATTCTGATTCTGGAGGCATTGAGAAGAGTCTTTGCTCTTTTCCCACCAAAGCCAGCTAGTACTAGAAGTACTAAGAAATGCAAGGTAGACTGGCGTTCCCAGCTTTCCTTTCTCCTGCTCACCCTCTGGTGGAGATGTTAATGAATTGCCAAATTTCAACAACAGAAAACAGCCTTTATGTTTTCAAAATAAATCTCATCAGTTGGCTCAAGTGAGAGACCCTCAGGCAGAGGGTGATTCGTTGAGAGAGCAAAGTCTGCTCCATGAGCATGAGCATGCTGACCCCTTCTCCTGGAGAACATTCTGGACACAGAGTGTCCATCGGGAGCAAGGGATGATGTATAGAGAGGGGCCACAGCCCTTCCTCAATGCCCAGAGGGCTCCTTCCAGAGAGCTTGAGTGGGGTAC